GGCTTGAACTCAAGAGTCTGGGCACTCAAGAGTCCATGAGCTTCTTTTGCTCAAGGCTAGCACTCTACCACTTGAACCACAGAACCACTCCTGGCTTTTTCTGTTTATGTGGTGCTAAGGAATTGAACCCAGGGCTTCATGCATGCTAGGGAAGCACTCTACCAGTAAGCCACCTTCCCAGTGATCTTTTCTTTTTCTAAATCAGCTCTCTTGGGAATTCTGTTGTAGCAACACAAAGCATCTTAATACAGCACACAGAACAATTTGTCACAACAGCTAGGTCCTACTACTAATTTTCAGTAGGTCCAGGTCAAAGGTGATCTTAGGAGTCTGCATGTCTAACTCATTCTCAGATGCTGATTATGGGGGCCAGGACCCACACTTTAGAAGCACTGACCCAAGGTAACACAAACACTAGGAAGACCCTGAAATATGCTTACACACATGGTGCCAGACAAGACTGCTCCTTCAAGGAAAGCAAGCTAAAATCAAATGAACCAGAACTGAGTACAGGTCATTAGGAGTACAGTGAGTAAAGGAAGAATTAAACTACAATGCAGTAACTGAGGCCCTTATTAGCTTTCCCTTGCGTGCTAGAGTGGTACCTTGCAACTCTACCCATTGACATTTAAAACCAGCCTCTACACACCTTCTTCCTCTCCAAACTCTACCGAATATGATTTGTTGTTGTTTTTCTTGTGTGTGTTTTGTTTTGTTTTCTTTGGGGGGGGGGGAGCGGGGGACGCATTCCAGTACTGGGACTTGAAGTCAGGGCCTGAATGCTGTCTCTTAGCTTTTTCCTCCCACAGCTGACATTCTACCACTTAAGCAATAGCTCCACTTCCAGCTTTCTGGTGGCTTCAAACTGTGATCTTCAGATCTCAACCTCCAAGATTAGCTAGGATCATAGGTCTGAGCCATTGACGCTCAGCTCTTGAACCTGATATTTTTAAAGTCTCTAATGGTTTATTTGCCAAACTACTGGAGTCTTATTCTGCATTTTTACTAATCTTTCCATACTACTTTGTTTCAGCCACTTGTTTGCCTCATAATTCTCATCCGCTTTGGCCCCCAGAGTTCATCCTTTATCTAACTACATTTAGACTCTTACGAAAGCTCCTCCAGAGCACAGTGTTTTGGTTTGTATAAACTGCTCAGTAGGAAAGAGGATGACTACAATTTGTAAGGAAGGAATGGCCCTTTCCTGGAGTATAGGCTGAGATGAGGTTCTGCAAATGTCCTTGGGTTTAGGATCAAGCCTGCTTTTCTCCTGATATGTAGGCTTCCTTCTATAGATTAACAGGAAACCTTTCTTCTTAGCATTCTGAATAAGGCAAAAGAACAACGTAACTAAATCAGCCACAATTTCTGCCACATGGGAGGTAATAAAAAGGGAAAGGGGCACAGGAATGCAAAGGACATAGATCTTGTCTAGAAATTGCTAAGCACTAAAACTGACAGGGAGTACATGCATGACTTTTTTTCTTTTTAACAGACTGAGGTTTGAACTCAGTTCTGTCTGCACTTACTAGGCAGGTGCTCCACTAGGCCATCAGCCCTTTTTCATCCGGGTATTTTTGAGATAGGACCTCTCTTCCTGCCCAGGCGTGTGTCCCAACTGTGAGCTCCTTCTTTTAGGTTTTTCACAGGCATCACTGAGGCCGGGATGACAGGCATATGCCACAAACCCAGCTTCTTCCATTGAGATGGTAATTCTCTTGATGTTTGGGCATAGACTAGCCTAGAACCATGATCCTCCCAATCTCAGCCTCCCGAGTACCATGAGTCACCAGTGCATGGTTCACATGAAATCAGTCTTGTCTTCTAAATTCTGAAGTTTCTTTCACATTGCAACTAAAAGAATGAGGACTGGGCTGGGAAGGTGGCTCAGTGGTAGAGTGCTTGCCTTGCAATGCATGAGGCCCTGGGTTCGATTCCTCAGCACCACATAAGCAAAAAAAAAAAAAAAAAAAAAAGCCAGAAGTGGCGCTGTGGCTCAAGTGGTAGAGCACTAGCCTTGAGCTGAAGAGCTGAGGGACAGCGCCCATGCCCAGAGTTCAGGCCCCACAACCGGACCCAAAAGAATGAGGACTATTTGGCTCTATTGAGGAGATGACTCCAAGTTTGTGAGACTTACTATCATAGTCCCCTTAATATTTCTTAATATTTCCCAGCACATCTTTCTCTTGGGTATTCCTACATGGCTACCCTAATTAACTGTCAAAGTTCATCTTAAGGAGAATGAAAGTGTTAGCCTTTCCCTTCACTTTTAGCCAATTCATCTCCATTAGAAACTTTTCAGCAATTACCCCAGCATCATTTAAAACTAACATGTGAGTCACACAACTTTAACATGCCCTCCAACCCTCAATTCTATGACCACATCTAACTTTGAATGATACCCCTTTTCCAACAGAAATCTCCTTCCTGCTGCCCACATCAGTCAGTGACCTCAGAAAATTCAGGGACAACTCAGTCTCCCTCATTCACCACGACCGTAATAAATGAAACCTGAGAAGAACCTCATATGTTCTTTGTATCTTCCTAAGCTTAGTGCTATACATAAAAGAGGCACACAAAAGAGAAGAGAAAAAGAGAAGCTAAAAAGTGTTGTGGATCATAATTTCTGAATCTAGCCACTCCTCTTTGTCCTAAATTCACTAACTTTTTTTTTTTAAATCCTGTATTACCCTCCCTAAAACCATTCCTGCATGCTACTGTCTGGCCTTTTTTCTCCTATCCTTCTCTATTTCAATCTGTCCTCCATGTAGTTACAATTTCCATCCCAAACGTAATGCCATTCCCCCACTAACAACCTTTTGATCATTTTCTATTACTGAAAAGGTAAATTTGGGGGCACAGTAACTCCATCACTCTGGAGGCATAGGCAGGAGATCACCACGTCCTGGGCCAGCCTGGACCACATAGTGAAAAGTTCATACTTATTTGACATCCACAATCCTTCATGATCTCATTCAAATTACCTCTCCAAGCCCATTTCACCACTCCTGCCATGAATGTTTCTTACGCAGCTTTCAGGTCAGTACACATAGGCTGTTCCCCTTGCCTAGAAAATTACCAACCTCTTCTCTTCCTTTCTCACTTTCTATTCCCTAACATCTACCCTTGCCTGATGACCTCTCTTCCATGCTTCCCTTGAACACTTGTCGTTCTGTATCATAACTATACAAAGTTTGAAGATTCTACTAAAGCTGACTTCTGCAGCTGGAACCCTGCCTAGGACCCTGGCAGACAGCTCACAGGAGGCAACAAATATCTGTTGAAGAAGCTTATATATCCAAAAGAATAAAATCTCTCAAAGTTTTTTTTTTGGTGGGGGGGGGGTTGTTGCCTTGGGAGACTATACCATTATTTCAGCAAGGTAGTCACTGCTCTGAACCCTGTGGAACCCCTTTTTCTATTTGGAATTGCGGTCTGAGCTCATTTACTCACCAGAAAAGAATAACCGTTGCATTATTTTTCTTTTTCTTTTTCTTTTTTTTGAATGCTGCATTTGAACTCAGGGCCTTTACTCTTGCTTGTTTTTTCACTCAAGGCTAGTGCTTTACATTTGAGCCATACCTCCACTTCTGGCTCTTTGCTAGAATCTTCCAGATTTATCTGTCCAGGCTGACTTCAAACCACAGTCCTCAGATCTCAGCCTTCCTGAGTAGCTAGGATTACAGGCATGAAGCCACTGGAACCCCAGCAATTCCATTACTTCATATGCATGAACTACTTTCGGTCAAAAATAACAGAAACAAATTTGAACACTGTCATCCTGCACCTACCCCACTTCATCATATGGACTTTGCTCTAAACTTCTGGCTCTTTCAAATAAGGAAGTTCTCCTTTCAAAGGGTGAAAATTTGCTACCACTGACACTGTGCCACAGGATCTAAAGATAATTTCAAACAGAAATACAACAGTTTTCCCCACACTGGAATAAGTGTGCTATCTCTAGTGGATGGTGAAGATGAGTGTAAATTTTGCTTGCAGACTTTTATATATGCGTTTAGTGGCAAAGCACGATATCCTGGATTCGATCCCCCAGAACACAAAAAAGAAGACAAAAAAAAAAATACAGTTAAAAAAAATTCATTTCAATGAAATCTTAAGGGGGATTTTTGGAAAAGGTGCTTCAAACTCTCCAAATTGTAAAGCTCATTGAAAACTAAGCCTAGACTGGTGAATCAACTTCCAAAGATGTCACATTCAACTTTAATAACTTCATCAGAATATGCATAAGGCAGAAACACCCAATCGAGAAATTGCACCACCCTCGTCCAAGAAAGGCAGGTTCTGTGAACACAGCGACAAAAGGGCAGGTCCTTACTTTGCTTAATTCCAACACGTATGAAGCACCAGCTGGATGCTTTACCCTATTCCAGGTGAAGGAAGGACCACAGAGGGAAAAGGACCAAACCCTAGCATTCAAGCTGTCAAAAATCATTGCAGGCGGAATCCTGCCAAAGCACCAGAATGGAATACATTCGTAACCACCCATCCCCGGCGAAACAGTTCTCAGGAAAGACAAACGGATCTGGGTGGAGGTAGATAAACATCTATCCACACGGATCTGGGTGGGGGTGGACAAATATCTATCCTCTAGCCATTCCAGCAGGACGAGAGCCTGGCAGATGATCCCCATCCCCTGGGCTGGTCAAACCTCGAGGGTTAGGGCTGGCCCCACCTCTCTCCCTGCCCCTCCCCGGCCAGCACCCGAGGCAAAAGCCGGGATTCCAGTCCACGCCAAGGAGAGGGAGAATCAAACTCCAGCTCGGATCTGCAGCAATGCACACGGACCAGACACCGCCCGGCCCCATCTCCTGGGAGCTGCAGGTGGAGGCATGGAAATGGTGGACGGAGGAGGAGGAGGGGTGAGGAGGGGCGCGCTCGCATGCCCCCCCCCGGTCCCCCCACGACACCACAAGTCGCTGCCAAAGCAACCCGAGGCCGCAGGGCCAGGGACCCCCTCGCTCCCCGCCCACGGTGGATACCTTTGAGTACTCCTGAGCCAGCTTCTGGTACTTCCCCTGCAACTCAGCCGAGGCCATGGCCTCCCCCCGCCCCGGCCAGGCCGGGCTGCCCAGGCCGCTCAGCCCCGCCCCCCGCCCCCAACCCCAGACGCGCTCCGGGGTTTGGCTCAGCCAGCGTCTGCAGCTTGGCCACAGCCGCCGCGCCTCCTCCTCCTCCACTTCCGGGTTCCCGGGGTGGGAGGAAGGTGGAGTGGGCCTCGGGGGGGCGGGGCGAGCCGTGAGGGCGGGGAAACGTCTTGACGTCATGCCGCGCCCTCCCTCGTCCACACCCGCTCACGCGCGCGCGGCCTTACTGGCGCGCCCGGGCTCTGCCTCTGGGACTCCAGGGACGCCATCTTGGGCCATGCGTCAAGATGGCGACCTGGGAGGGAGCAAGGGGAAATCAGTCGAGACCGAGAATGAGGAGGGCCTACGGAGTGGGCGGAGTCCGAGGAGAGCGAGAGAGAGACCGAGGGGGCGAAGCACCGAGGACCGGAAGAAGAAACATTCCAAGTAGCGTCTCCCGAACCCTGGCCCACCCCACCCGGGGTTGTCATGGCAACCGCATGGCTTGGGATGGTTCTGTCTGCGGAGCGCGGAGACCTGGGCCTGCCGCTCGGTCGATCTCTGCTCTGGGTAGCTCCAGCGTGCTGTCGGCTTTGTAAGCTCCCGGACCGCTCCCCTCCGCTCCTGACGAGCCTTTCCCATCGTTAGGGCTTTGACATTGAGATCTCTTTGTGCCCATTAGCTACCCGCACCTTGCGCCCCTCCCTGCCTCCCTCCCGGGCGCCCGGCCCCGGGCCCCGCCGGTGTGCGCCCCCCGGCCCGCGTGCGCCCCCCGGCCCGCGTGCGCCCCCCGGCCCGCGTGCGCGCCCGGCCCGCGTGCGCCCCCCCCCCGGCCCGCGTGCGCCCCCCGGCCTCCCCGCACCCGGCTCCCGCCCCACACCGCAGAGCCTGCTTCACCTGGTTAGAGTAAAAGGCATAAGGAAATTTCGGTCGTAATTCTGGCCACGCATGTAGACATTGCGGTCCTTAACAGCTTAAAACATTTTAAAGAGAACTGAAGCAAACACTGCCCAGCCTGAGATGCTTTATGATGCTTTTGCTTCCATTAAAAGCTGCTTCCATTCATCTATTTAAATATATATGTATATTTAGAGTTGTTCTAGAAACTGCATTTCACTGCATTGGAATGATTGTTGAGAGAGGAATGGGTAAATAAGAGTATGTGTTTACCCTAAATTATAATATCGCAGTTAAAACTAAGGATCTAGGTCGGTATATATCTGTATATGTTTTTTAATACCAACGTAGTGGAACATGGTGTTAAATGTAAAACGCAGACCGCTATGTATTATAATACAGAAACATTTACAGATTAAAAAGTAACATTCTTAGCGGGTGCCAGTGGCTCATGTCTGTAATGCTAACTACTCTGGAGACTAAAATCTGAGGATCTCTGTTCGAAACCAAACTGGAAGGAATGTCCATTAGAGTCTTATCTCCAATAAACTACTCAGAAAATTCTTGAAGTGTGCTGTGGCGCAAGTAGTAAAGCGCTAGCCTTGAACACAAAGAAGCTCAAGAACAGCATCTAGGCCCTGAATTTAAGCCCCATGACTGACCAAAAAAAAAAAAAAAAGTAACTTCTTATTGTTCATGAACATAGGAACATGTACTAAAAATACAGAAACAAAAACTAGAAAAAGGATACACTTCGCACTTGATAGTGGTTGAGAAAAGAGCAGCAAGAAACAATAAATGTATTTTTCTTTGTTTTTTTTAAAGTAAATATGACAAAGGGTTCACTTTATTTAGGAATTAAGTGAAGGAATGTTATATTGGTAACTAGAATGAGTAACATTTTCCATGATAAAAAATAAACTATTTGTGTTACCCTGGTTTCCAGTTTTCCTATGAGCAAGCCAAGAATTGTATAGTGAAGAACTAAGCCTGTCTTCATTCCAGTCATTGAAACCTATAAGAGAATTATGAAGTAAAAAATACTTATATTTTTCAATTTACTAATTGCCAAGTTCTGTCCCAAATTTCATAATAGTTTCAAAAATTATTAATTCTTTGGTACCACCAAGTGATAGAAGACTGTAGGTCATTTCCATGTTTGTTTAAGAATGGAAATTTTTATTATTTTTATGTCATCCTAGAAGTAACATTCCAAAGAAAGAATGTTCAACTTTAACCAAGAAGCCTATGTTACATTCATTTTACCAAACTTAGAAATTTATTTTCTACTGAACAGATTAATCTCTGCTGACAGATATATTGAAAAAAAAAAAAAAAGACTGGTGCTGTTTACTCCCTTGTTAAAGACATACACTGGAGAGAGGGGTATACATACTCAATCTTAGCATTTGGGAGGAAAAGGCAAAATAAAGTTATCAAAATACACTTCAGCCAATAAATTAGTCATGTTGGTACATGCCTGTAATCCCAGCTATGTCCAAGTATAGGTAGGAGGATTTATATCCAAGGCTCTTGGGCAAAATATGCAAAACCCTCTCTGAAAAAAAGAACTAAAGTAAAAAAGATTGGAGGTATGGCTTAAGTAAGTACTACCAAATAATAATAATAAACAAAAAGAACAAAAGAGTTGAGGGTATCATTCAAGTGGCAGAGTGTCTTTCAGATAAGCTCAAGTTCCTGAGTTCAAACCCCAGTACTGCCAAATAAAAAAAAAGGAGAGAAAGGGGGGTGGGGGGGAGAAAAAGGAAATACCAGTGTAGGGCTGGGAAGGTGGCTTAGTGGTAGAGTTCTTGCCTTGCATGCATCAGCCCTTGGGTTTGATTCTTCAGTATCACATAAGAAGAAAAAGCCAGAAGTGGCAGTGTGGCTCAAGTGTTAGAGCACTAACCTTGAGCTAAAGAGCTGAGGGTCAGTGCCCAGGTGCAGAGTTCAGGCCCCACAACTGACAAAAAAGAAAAAAAAATCAGTGTAACATAAGCTTTGTTCAGGCATATGGCACAATTGACATCAACGTTGAGTCCACAAAGCACACATTAAACATGGTTATATATTGATCAGTAGCTGTGACCAGCGACTCTTAAGAACCTAACTTTTTAGTTGGTCACCAGAGGCGCATTCTTGTAATCCTAGTTATTTAAGTGGCTGAGATCTGAAGATCAAATCATGTCCTCGAAGACTTACTTCCACTTCTAGCCTTTTGCTCCAATTAATTATCAAACTGGAAGTAAAGATGTAGCTTAAGTGATAGAATGCCAGGCTTGAGTGAAAAAAAGCTAATGGACAGCTCAGTGGTAGAGTGCTTGCCTTGCATGCATGAGGCCCTGGGTTTGATTTCTCAGCACCACATAAACAGAAAAAGCCAGAAGTGGCACTGTGACTCAAGTGGTAGGGCACTAGCCTTGAGCTGAAGAGCTGAGGGACAGTGTCCAGGCCCAGAGTTCAAGCCCCACAAATGATAAAAAAAAAAAGGTAAGGGACAGTGCTAAGGCCCTGAGTTTAAGAACAATTACACACACACACACACACACACACACACATGCACGCATGCATGCACGCGTGAGTGCTCGCACACACACACTTTGTATTTTCCCTGGAAATAATGGCATCTGCTAATCCAGTGTTTGCAGCAATGTTATCCTAACACAGTCTATGCAGAATTAAAGAACAAATCTATGGTAGGTAATGAGAATCAACTATCAAAACAATGCAAAACTTTCCTTGGCCATACAGAACACAACGGCCATTATGCCACCAGGTTACTGACAGTATTGGAGACACTTTAAGTGAATGAATGTTATTTTATGGTACAGAAGTATCCCACATTTGCTGTCTTATCTGAGATGTGTTTGCCCACATCTGAAAATCAAGGACTTGGGCTGGGAAGGTGGCTCAGTGGTAAAGCGCTTGCCTTGCATGCCAGAGGCCCTGGGTTTGATTCCTCAGCACCACATAAGCAAAAAAAAAAGTCGGAAGTGGCGCTGTGGCTCAAGTGGTAGAGCGCTAGCCTTGAGCTGAAGAGCTGAGGGACAGTGCCCAGGCCCAGAGTTCAGGCCCCACGACCGGACCCAAAAAAAAAGAAAAGAAAAGAAAATCAAGGACTTCTTTCCAACTTCCATTCATCACTGAAAGACCATTGAGTTAAGATAAGTAAGCCAAGATCATCTCAGACATATTTTCAGTCTCTATGGCTGGTCACCATACTTGGCTGGGGATAATGGAGAAGAGTCTTCAGATGGAAGTAGGTACAGGAAAATTTCTTTGCTTTCTGTTGTTACAATAGAATGCAATGAGTGAATCATTTATAAAGAAGTTGACTGGTTCCATGTTCTGTGGTCGGGGAAGTCCTAGAGCCAGGCTGACATCTACCAAATATCTGATAAGGCCATGAGCTGTACCCCATGTGACAGAGGGCATCACATGATCACCATTCTAGCTTGTACCTCTCTTTCAAATCCATCAGTGCCATCACATAACCCCATCCTCTGATTCATTTACTCCCATTTGCATCCCCAAAACTTCACTTCCAAATACCATTGACATATGAATATGGGGATTAAATTTCCAACATGTGAATTTCTGGTGGACACATTCAGACCACAGCAGAGAAAGATGAAGGAAGGCAACTGATGGGTCTTATTACACCTGTTCTTGTCTCTGTGTTTGTTTCTTTGTGTTGCTGGGGCTCAAACTGAGGGCCTTAAATATGCTAGGCTACAGCTTTACAACTGAGCTACATCACCAGGCCATTTATTTTCATTTTTAATCCAGCAAGAAGCTGTGTATCACTTTCATGGTAAAGTGATACACAAGAAGAGGGCAAGGACTAGAATAACTTTTCTTCCCATTATATTCTCTTTAGCAGCTAGCTCCAAACTTCAGGTTTGTGTGCTCTGTGAGGTCTGTACGGAATCTGATTATTTGCAACTTTGGGGAATCCTACTAAAAACAGCAATTCTATACTTGACGTTTGGCAAGTTCTTCCATCGGCTGTGCCCCAATGCTTTGCCTGTCTTAACTTCAACAGACAGAAGGAAGATGAGAACTAGCACTAGGTCCAAAGTCACATGGCAGACACTCACTGAATCAAATCTAGAAGCCAGGTCCTCCTCCTCTACTGCAGACAGCTTTT